CTCCGCCCTGCAATCAAAAAGAAATACAATTTACCGTAGTATGTGTTGGGCTGGCTGTTCCTTACTTCTGATTACGCCGCACTGAAATTTCGCGCATTTCAACTGCTTTACTGGTAGATGTATTGTTGTGGCAGTGATAAACCGGTCAGTTTAGCTAGTGACCAACCTGTCACATTAACAAATGTCACTTCTACTGCTATCATTTCTAGTGTCAACGATAACAATGACAAAAGTAACGATATTAATAAAATTGTGGACGATGAAAAGGTCACCACTCATTTTCATTTTTCTTTTCAAATATTTATAAAATCCAAAAAGAAAAAAAAAATTATTCTATTATATCAAGGAAATAATTCATATCATTAAAATATCACAATTTTTATTAAATTTATATTAGCTGTTCTGCTATTTTATTTATTTTCTACTGTAGCACATCTGTACTATAATAATATTACCAATAATAATATATTTTTGTAATTATTTTCTCATTTTGTTTATTTCTGTTGTTCTGCACCAGATAATAATGCAATAATTGGCTGAGGAATGGAAAACTCTGCGAAATTTTGATCAATTCAACAGTTTCTTAATTTTGTTTAGAAAAAAGAAAAATGATTCTATATCTTATCATAATGTAAATGAAATAAATGAATAATATAATTTGGAGTCAATTTTCTAACCAAAATAAATTCAATCGTTAAATTTTCTAGATTTCCAGAACTGATAAATTTAAATGTGTTAAAATATTTTAGCTATTTTTTGAGGTTTTGAAGCTTTTTGAGGTTAAAAACATCAAATTTATTTACCGTATTTCTTTTAAACAGTAATTTTATAATGCTTCAACAGTTTCATTTTAATATTATCAAAATTTTTATGCTTTACATAACTTAAATTCCTCTTATTGCTTTTCAATAAGAAATAAGTTTAGTAGAATTAAGCCAAGAAGACAATAATGGCTACTAATGGCAATACTTGGCTATTTTAATGACTTAAAGTGATTGAATAAGTTATACTGATAACAGTGCTATTATATTTCAAGAAATATAATATATTTTAGCTTGTATTATCAATATGAACATTCTAAAGTGCTACGTCCTGTGATCAATTTTTGTTTCTTTAAAATTTACCATAATTGCTTTTCATTTTTATTTACCACCAAAAATAATCTAAAATATTCAAAAAAAAAAAAAAAAAATGATTTTAAAGTTAATTTTTAGAGTATCTGCAAGCAATGCCAATTTCCAATCATACACGAATTTATGTCAAAGGTATTCTTTTCAATAGCAATATTAAAAAAAAAAAAAAAAAAAAAAAAAAATAGCTTAAAATTAATTCATTCAATAGGATTTGCTTAATTAATTAATGCAACCTAATCAACAAGAGAATATTGTTTAAAAAAAAAAGTTTATTAATTTAACAAATTCAATTCAATGTGCTAAATATCAATGTACTTTCCGCTCACTCAGTGTTATTTTTAACTATTTTAAAGTTTTCACACCGATTTTTGAATAAAACATATGCAGTAGCTAAATTTTATTTACTCAAAAAGATATTAAAAAAATTATTAATTAAAATTTAATCCATTGACTTTGAAATAAAATAAGAAAAGATATATTATCATTTCAGAAATAGTATTATCATTAATTGTATTACATTCTACAATAGCTTAAAAAAAGAAAAAAAATAGAACTTATTGCAACAATTTGCTAACTAATTTTTCAATTTCAATAATATATCATAAAATTAATTAGTTCGGAGAGTTTTTGAATTAAAATCTTTCAAATAATTTGTTATAGATATGTGATTGGGTGTATCATGAAAATTGTGTTAGATGTTCAGTTTGTTCCATACTTCTCTATGATAGATGTTTCGAAAGGAGTGGACATTTATACTGTCATTTGCATTATTATGAGTAAACTTTTATTAATTATGAAAAACAGCAAAGATATCATTGATTCAGTTTTAAATTTTACTTCAAATATAAATTAAAATGATTTAGTATTAAAGGTTTTTTTTTTTTTTTTTCTTCTATAAATATGATAATCTATACTTACTTCAAAGTAATTCAAATTTTCCTTTTATAGCTAATTTATTTAAAACATTCTTTTTTTTTTTTTTTTTGTTTTTGATAATATAAATTCTTTGGATTTCAAATTACACATTCTACAGGGAACATAGTCCGAATCGATGTGCAGGTTGTCAACAAGGTATTGCACCAACAGAAATGATCTATAAAGTTAAGGTAGTATAACATTCTTATCAATGAAAATTTAACATTTATCATTTCAAATATTTATTTTCTTTTTTTCTTTTATTTGTTTATTTTTTGAAACCTTTAATGCAAAAATTGCTGCATATTTTTGGTTTATTTTAAACTTTTTTTTTTTTAAATGGCATTTTGATAAATCAGTAACAAATTTTAGGGTGATATATTTTATCATATCACTTGCCATCGATGCATTCAGTGTGGTAAAAGAATATCACAAGGCGAACAAATTTGCATAAATGAAATATCTAAAAGTATTGCATGTATTACTCATACTATTTGCAGCGATGATTGTAAGTTTGCATCTGATATTCTAGCATTGATTTGAAATTGATTCTGTTATTTAAATTGTTGTAGCATTAAATTAAGTTTTAAAATGAGATGAATTTATGATATGCTAGTTTTTTTTTTTTTTTTTCAAAATTAAAAAAAGAAAAAAAAACAGGTGAATAAATGAATTTATTCAGTTTCACAGTATTATTATAAAAATAAATATTTGATATTATGATTTAAAATTTCTTATATTTCAGTATTTAGTATTGCAACGTCAACTGAAGCGTTATGCATATTTGAGACAGATGACAGTGGTTTGCTTTCTGATGCTTCAAGGTATTTTGTTGTTTTCGATTGCTCCATGTAATATAATTTATTATTCATACTAGATATTGTGATAAAATTTAATTTTACATCGTTAATTTGTTTATATTATTTACACAAATGCCACATATTGACAAAAAAAAAAAAAAAGAAAAGAAAAAAAAAACCACTTATACTGAAAATTTTTTGTGAAATTATTTAAATATTCAAAATCTATATGAATTAAATTCTTAAAGACACATTTAGAATGAGATGAAAAGAAGTTAAAAATCTAATGCAATACAAAATTAATTTGCAAATAAATTAGATTTATTTACGGCGCTAATATTAAAATGTTAAAATCATTAATACAACAAATTTGTTGAAAATATTGTTAAGAAAATTGGATTCATCAACAAGCTTTTTCACACATTCGCATGAAACATACTGTTATGAACAAAGTGATGAAAATAATTTTTTAAAACGCAGAGGACCGCGTACTACCATTAAACAGTACCAGGTAATATTCACTTGTAAAATTTAAAATTAATTCAAAACTTTTAAACATTTAATAAACTATCATTTCTATTATCATTTTCCGTACAATTTTCTTCAATAATTGAATAAAATGAAATAAATTTTGATTAGTTACTTGTTTCAGTTAGACGTACTAAATCGAATGTTCATGTCAACTCCAAAACCATCGAAACATGTGAGAGCTAAGCTAGCACTAGAAACAGGTCTCAGTATGCGTGTTATTCAGGTAGATGATATATCTCCAAAAAATAACCTCAAAAAAAAAAAAAAAAAAAATTCACACATTGTTTTCATTTCACAAAAAAAAAAAAAAAGGAAAAAAAGTTTAATGATTAATTAATGTACTTAAAATTACTCCAATTTCAGGTTTGGTTCCAAAATCGACGAAGCAAAGAGCGACGATTAAAGCATTTATGCAATTATTTGAGAAGATTTGAGCAACGTGGCTTAATACCACCACCAATTGGTTTTGATTGTAATTAACATTCATTCAAGTTTATAAATGTTTATAGCTTTAGCAAACATTTCTCAAAGACGAAATATTTTTTCATATATTTAATAAAAATTAGCAATTTTATGCTTTATGTTAATTTTTTTTTTTTTTTAATTTTAGCACCTGGAAGAGTATCGTCTACCGAATGTATCACCTTGGAGCAATTACTATCATTTCCATTTGAAGCAGACGAAGAAGGAGAAGAAATTGCTAATGATTAATATTAACAAAATTGCTAATCAATGATTTCTGTTGATTTGTAATCTGAAATGATTTTTCTTTAAAATGAAACTTATTTTATTGTTGCTCTTAATCTGTTCGCAGTAAATTATTTGTGATATTAGTATTGAATCGTTTAACTTTTGGATTGTGATCACAAAAAAGGAAAAAAAAAATCGTAGATGCGAGAAAAAATTGTCCTTGATTACTTATGTAGAATTCTTCTATTACTGAAAATTTCTCTATTATAACTGATCAACCGTATTTTTTTTTTTTTTTTTTTTTTGTTTACTTTAAATCAGAACAATTTGTCAAAATTATTTATTTTAATTGGTTTAAAGTAAATAAAAGTAAATAAAAGCATAGCAAATATTACTTAATTAATTAAAAAATTTGTTCAATAATATTTGGTTAACCATAATAATTATGGAGGGAACACTTTTCCCTTTCATATTAACTTTATACTAATTTCCTTCATATTAAAAAAAAATTCTTTTTTTTTTTTTTTTTTTTGTAATTTTTATGTAAACTAGAAAATTTGCATAAATTTGTTGTAATATAAAAATGAAAAGTGGAAATGACTGATTAATTTTTATTTAATTGTAAGTTTAAAAGCGCTCCTATCGGTACCATCTCGTCGCTTCATTCATTTTTCGAGTAATCGTCAATTGTGTATGACAAGACGATGTTTTGCTTTAGTTTTACAAAAATTAAATTAAAATTTCGGAATATTTGATGGAATAGTATCAAAATTAAAGAATATGTGTGAAAAAAAAAAAATTAAAAAATTAATGAATATAAAATTGATAAGATTTTTTCGTATGATTTGTTAGTATGGGTTTTGAAAAGAAAGATGAGAAATGAATTTTTACATGGTAAAATTGTTAAAATGAATTTAAAGAAGTTAGAAATATGAAACGTGCTGGCTCTCGTCGACGTCGGAAACAGGTGACAATGGAGGAAGAAGTTACTGTTGAAGGCGATATTGCTGGTTCATCTATAGCTGGCGTAAAAAATTTAAAGGTTATCTAAATCTAATCTTTCTTATTTATAGTTGAAAAATATACTAATTTTCATTTAATTCTAACGTTTAATTCCAAGTTTACATATATTATTATTATTATTTTTTTTAGCTAATCTTTTTTTATAAACAAAGAAATGTATGAAGGAATAAATGAAATATTTTAAATTTTAGTCGAAATTTTAATCATAAATTATTGTCATTAGCATTAAAGTAGGAAAATAGCAACTGATAGTAAACAGAGTAGCAACTGATAATAGAAAATTGATTTTTAATTATGTATAAATTTCAATAGCTACTCTAATAGAAGCTAACGTTAATTTTATAGAAAAGTTCTACACGTCGTAGAAAAAGTGGCAGACCAATGACCATTGAAATGGAAAAATTAATTTCTGATTATGTAAACTACATCAGATCAATGGGTTTGCAATATTTATTAATGTATTAATATTAATAAAGAATAACTTTAAATTGATTAATAAATGAGGAAAAATTTTTCAAAAATTTAATTGCAATTTAAAATAAAATTACATATTTGAATATAAAACATTTAGAAAATTGAAATGATTGTTATTCACACTGAGAATGAATAAAATGCATAAAATTTGATGAAATTTCAACTAAAACTTTCTAAAACTAATTGATGAAATTTTATCACAATTCAAATATTATATTGCAAGAAGCTTACATTAAAAGCTTATTTGTTTTATCTCATATATAAATCTCTCAGTGATTTCTAGGAGTTGCTGGTTTGCGACGAGAATTTGAGGAATTAAAAATGTATGTGCCACCAAACAATGCACATGAGGCATTTACCGCAAATCCTTTTAAAAATCGATATCGTGATGTACCTTGTCTGGATGTTACTCGGTTATTTAAAATTTTTTAAATATTATAGATAATTTAGTATAACGACTAATATTTCATTAAGAATTAAAATAAATCTGAGGAAATTATTTGTAAATTAAAAAACAAACTAATTAAACTTTTAGATCTTAACAAGTATATATGAATTATTTATTTTGAAATGATATTCACTTAATTTTATCATCATTTTTAACAATAAAAGAAGTGAAATAAATTTTTTTTTTTTTTTTTTTTTTGTATGGTAGAATTTTAGAGTTGTTTTAACACTAAATGTTCCACCTGAAACTGATTATATACATGCAAACTGGCTAAAAATGGATGGTTGCGCTCATCAATATATCGCTACACAGGTAAGATTAATTATCAAATTGCAATCTTTTTAATTTGTTCTATAATTTAAAAAATCGCATTTGAAATTGCAAGCAAAATAATTGCAATCATTTTTCTCTTTCTTCAATTAGCTGTCATTTTAGTTAGTTTTCTAATTAATTAATAATTTTTTTTTTTAATTCAAAATATGAAAAATCAAAAATCTTTAAAAAATTCAAAATTTCACTCAGTCTGGAAATTTTTGTGAATAATTCATTTATCAGTTTATAAAATTAATTAGAAATAAATAACTTCATAACTAATTCACATAAATAATTCTATCTCACATTTTTTTGGTTAGGTAGAAAATTGCAAAAAAAAAAAATCGGTTTTTGCAAGACGTTGTAAAATTATAAGACATTGATGTGATTGAATGATTGATTAATTAATTGAGTAATTATTATTACCCAATTTTTTTTAATCTGTATATTATGGGTTTCTTACCCGTAGGGTCCACTAGAATCAACTGCAAGCGATTTTTGGCGTATGGTACATCAAGAACAAATTACAACGATCATAATGTTGTGCAAAACTTCTGAAGACGGCAAACCGAAATGCTTTCAGTATTGGCCAGCAGAAAATGGTGAAAATAAAACTTACGGTTGTATGTTTGTCATGAATAAGCGAGTTAGTCACAGTCTTTTCTACATTTCATTTCTAAGAAATATTCATGTCATCCGAAATTTAATAACATCCAGAATAATATTCGATTAATAGTATAGACCGGAAAAGTGATAAATGATCGTATCAGAGGAGCAGTTAAGCCATTCTGTTTATTTTTGTCTGCTTGACATTTATGATCAGTGGTTAGTGCAAGAATGGAATAGATAAACATAGTTATTTTATTCAGATATTTAAATTAATTTCTATAATAGATTTAACTAAAAATTGATCATGAGCAAGTTTTTCTTTTTCATTAAATTTAAATTGCTTTCTTCAAAAATTATTTTGCAGTCTGAACATGAGGATAAATTTGAAACTTATCTTCTGGAAGTGTTACCGGAAGGTTGTTCAAATTCAACAATCGTAAAGCTTATACATATGACAGATTGGCCGGATCGTGGTGTACCACAAAGTGGAATGACTGTATTAAGGCTAATTCGAATGATGCCTACTGTATTTATTGCAATTTCATTTTTTCTTTTTCATTTTTCAAAATTTTAAATTCTTTTGTTCGTTATCTCACACATTTACAAGTTAATTTGTAATTTTATTTTTCATTATTTCGAGTTTATTAATCCTACCATACTTATGTTATATAACCAATATTTACTCAATTTTTTTTGCAATTTCAATAAACTGATAAACTGAAGTAGTTTTTTTTTTTTTTTTTTTTGATTTTAGAGTTCGACCAGCATAATTCATTGCTCAGCTGGTATTGGTCGTACAGGTACAGTGGTAGCAATTGACACATTATTGTCACGTCTTTGGAAAAACCAACCATTAAATGTAATATTAAATTAGTTTTAATATAAATCTACATTTTTTCATAATTTAATTCTTCTTACGTTTACTTCCTTCTTCCACTGCAATTATTAGGTCTAATTTTGATGTTAGGATTAAAATTTACCTTTATTAAGTGGTCAGTAGGATGAAAAGTTCAACAATACTTCCGGTTAGCATTTATCGGAATGATCAAATTAACGTGAACAAATTTCAGGTACCACAAGTTGTTAAGGAGATGAGAAATCAGCGTGCATCAAGCGTACAAAATGAAGCACAATACGTGTTCATCTATACCACTGTATTGGATTATATTAAAGTAAGTTCCAATCAAGAACTGAAATGAGTAGAGATTTAGATAAAGTAAGAATACTGAACTTGTTATATGCAAATCGATTTTATCATTGCATAAAAATATACACACTTCTGCACTATTCTCATTTCACGTAACCACCATTCACGTAAACACCTTATTTGACAAGCTTTTTTTTTTTTTCTCTTATTTGTCTAGAAAAACTATCAAGAAAGACATTTGTGGAAGCATTTCATTCTGGCATATTCTATAATTTTGCATTTCAGGCGAAATTACCATTGAAGTATCGTGAATTTGCTGTTTCATTTCATGCAGAAGTGAAGAAGGCAAATATGATTTAAACTATTTTAGCCTTACTTTTTTCCTCATTCATTCAATGAGAGAAATAAATCATTTACTTCAAAAATCAAAATGAATGAAATATTTAAATAAATGGTTATCATATCCTCTTTTATACCATTTGGAATGTGTATTATCACTAGTGATATCACACATTCAATGCAACAAGATAATCAACATTATCTACTGCTCAATTACTAATTTGGATTTAATTTTTATTACTTATTATTACAATTTTTTTTACGCAAAAACTCACAGTAACTCTTGTTCAAATATTCAAAAATAAAGCAATTACTAATATTTATATTTCAACGTGTAGCGATTGTCTTCACATTCATTCTTACGTATTTCCGCTAATCCACGTATCATTCATCATTCAAGTGATCTTTCTATCCTCTATTATTATCTGTCTAATTATTTATCTAATTTTTATAATTGTTAGGGAGATTAAGTATAACAATTCTCTCTCACAGATATTCCAATCTTTATTGGCAAAAATTTATTTCGAAATATACATAGAGCTGTAACCAGTTAATCAATAATTGTCGTACATAATTAGTTGAACATCTTTGCTTATTGCTATACCTACTTATTGGACAAGCAATCCTATACTTCAACTTGTCGTACCACAAAACCTTATCTTGAAGTGAGTGGAAATAACAGTTTCACAGAGTTTGTTCAAATGCTTCTGCTCGTGGGCCATTAGCGCCATTGGTTGTTTTCTCTTTACTCTCTTAGTTTTACCCTGTGATGTGTCGGTTGTTGCTTTCGTAGAGTTCTGTTTTCTTCTCGAAACATTTCAATATAACTGATGGAATGGTCCGGAGCAGTGAATTAACCAGACGAAAAAGTAGTCGGATCCGGAAGACGAAGCGAACATACAGTCCATCCGCTGACAATGATCCACCATCTGGTATGATTTTTTACTAAATGCATTGTTTGTATTATCACTCGGCTTGGTTATTGAAATACTGCCATGAGAAAATTGATTTTACTGGAGTAAATCGATGTAATACGAAAAAAACTAAGGTAAAGATAATAATAAAGATTATACCCACTCTTTGATTCCTACTTTTTTTTTATTCTTTAAACCGGTTAATCTGATTCAGATGTCCCATCTACATCGAGAATTCGAAAAGAACCTCACAGTGTTCCTTTGGGCATCTCTAAAGTATTGTCCAATACAAGCGCGAAAGAGGTAGATGTTGTACAGTGTCATTTCTAAACAGATGCTTATAAGTTTAAGCAAACTTACATTCTTATCAAATATGTACTTATTTAAACGTAAAGTACTTCACTTGGTCTACTGATCCTGAAAATAACCTATATTCCTGACATTTAATGAAGAAAATATAATTCTTTGATCAACTTCTTTCTATTGCAAATTTCTCTAAACACAGTAATGGGAAGTAGGTAGCCGTTCTCGGAAGTCCCTCCCAATTTCTCAAAATTTTTTACTTTCATCTCAGATCTACAAGCGGCAATTATTTTAGCGTGCAGCTAGTAACTGAATGCTGGACGATCAACACTACTCAACACTCTATTAGCCAAAACCATTTGCTTCAACCATCTAAGTAATTGTTATAGGTTGTGAATGATAAGGAACATGGTAGTATAGCGCTGAATCATAACTCTTTTTGGAATTTTGCTACTACGTTGAGGTTTGCCTTGTTGACATTAGTAATCGTATTTGACAGCAATCATATTTTTGGAAAATAACTTTTTGTTTAAAGTGATCGCCCTTTTGTCTGGAAACATTTACTTTGTTTTGTTTAAGATACCTGAATGGAACAATGGGATTCTGTTCGGAAATCCTACAAGGTAGGAATAACATGGTAGTATTCGTATGATTTTATGTAGTCGTTTCTTTAAGTTACCCGATCGTACATGAGAAAATGGCTAATGATAAAGTGATTACGCTACTACTGGAAGAAGTATCCAGAGCAATTCGTCAACTAATTTCTGGAGCGAAACTTGCAATGGAACAAGCCGGAAGACAAAAGCTTTTGTGTGATGACTTAAATACATCTATCGGAATGGAAGAAGGGAAGGTAGGTTCGCGTCCATCTAATAAAATCTTGAACTTTTTGTGGAATGCCATGAATATATGCAGTTATTTCTGGAAATATTAATGGAAAAACAAAAACAAACTGAACAGATGGGAGCTTTACGGTGGTACATTTTAGCGTTCCCCTTACTTTTCACATAAAGATTAATTTTAGTTGTTGTTCGGTTTCGTAGAAGATAATAAATGGCAAAAGATTGGTGATGTATTTGTGCCCAGTGATGAAGTTCTTGACCTGAGATTCTGCTCTTCAAGTGTTAAGCTCGAAACAGTGGCAGGTAACTTTTAAAATCATTGCATACTTTTTTGCTAGGATCCTCCAATTAAAAAAAAAAATGAATTTCTTGATCAAAAGACATTTAGATAGCTAAAGACGAGATCAACAAAATCGGAGAGTTCCGAAAAAGGAAGATACGTTCAACATGATACTGATCGCAAAAGATGCGCTCGGAACAGCAGAAAATGGCTGATCATCTGTGATCTTTACTGAATAAAGTTTAAATATTGTGCATATTTTTAGCATATAATGAAATATTTCATACGAGTACCTCAGTTTTTTACTTCAGTACTGGAAAAACTATTTTAAAATTCGTCCCTTCCTGGACAAAAACATCAGACACAGAGAGCATAACTTCCACCATTACTTCATAAAACTCATTTTTTGTCTCAAATGAAAGCTCTAAACATTGATCAGATTTATGGGAACGATGACTTTCACATGAATGACGTTTTACGGACAAAATTATTCGAAGTGGATACTCACTGAATCAACAACTTTATTTTAATAATCACTAAAAAAAAAGGAAAAAGAAACATGAAGCAAGCCATTTAAGCTTTTTGTGCGAGTTCCTTAGCTCGTGCTTTTTCGATCCGTGATTTCTTTGCCTGTGAACGGGCTGACATAATACCACCTCCCCAATGTTTCCGGATCTCATCAGCGCGTTCATTATAATTCGTTATCACTGTGTCCTTCAGTTTCGATAAAGCTACCTTATCCTCGCTGCAAATTTCAATATCAAACAAGGATATCAAAATCTCCGAAATTTATAAAATTAAAGAAAGCTTAATCCAAAGTTGTTACAATTAGATATAAAATATGCAACGAAGTGGAGATGCACATTTGGTTCCAACTGTGTTGGACGACAAGCGTACGGATTTGTGGTGGAGAAGGGAAGCGTTTTATCGAGCTGTAGGCATTTTAATAATTCTTTAAAACTTTGTGCATTGAGTTTCGTATTAGAATGGGAGAAATAAACTTTCACTTACGGATTAGTATCAACGATAGCAATACAAGAGGCAGTCTTTCGATGAACAACTTGGCCAAGACGTGCTTTCCCCTTGACAATACAATATGGTACCTGTAAGATTGCAGAGGAAGTTTAATTCGAGATTTGCAAATAAATATACATTACTACAAAGAAAATGATGAAATTAGATCAATGAAGGAATTACATCAACTAAGCAGAAGAGGTCAGCAAGAAAATACTAAAACTCACTTTGAATTTACGGCAAAGAGCTGGAAGGAAAAGGACAATTTCAATAGGTTCAACATCATGCGCAATAGCAACCAACTGTGCCTTCTTTTGTTCTACGAGCTTCGTAACTTGGTTTACACCCGAACGAACCACTGGCGGACGCTTTGTTACCTCTTCACTTTTGCCTGCTGCCCGAGCTTCCGCACGTGCCCTTAATCGCTCCATCTTCTGATGCTTCGTTTCTGGACGATATTTGTCTACCAAACGGAAAAATTGCGTTGCTGCAAGGTACAAAATAAATGAGAGAAATCAAGAAACTAAAAAGAATTTCTTTTATTTCCTTTTTTTGAGTTTTGCTAAACCCAGATCTCAGAAGCCAACCAGAGCTACTATAATATTCTTTTATTTACAAAAAAAAATTACAAAAAAATGTTATAGGTACCATATTTTTTTGTAATTTTAAACATTATAAGACCTTTCCCTTCCTATCAGATCAAACCTGGACGATGATAAAAACGGATGCTCTGAAATGAAACGAAGTAGTACGGCAGGAAAACAACATTTTTGACTTCCAGAAATAGTAAACATCAAAAACACTAGACAGTGCAGAACTTACCTGTTTGTTTATCAAGTGTTGTACGGAATTGATTAATTGGTGGTGGAATTTTTAAGCGCTTCATCAAAACAGCCTTCTGACGTTGCAAACGAATATATTTGGGCCATCGCACAAATCTAGTCAGATCTCGTTTTGGCTGGATGTCTTGGCCTGAAAAAAGGACAGACCATCTACTTCTCGATTCTTCATACAAGAGATTATTACCTTCCTCTAATTATCAAAATCCGCACCTATTGAAAAATTGCGTGGTCGTTTCTCGAATAGAGGATTTTGTTCCTTCTTTGCTGTTTCCGATTTCCTAATCATCGGCGGCGGAGGAGCAACTCTTTTCTTGATAATTTTCTTCGAAGGCTGTAAAACTCAAGGACAAAATGTTTTCTTCGATTTATAAAAATGGTTTTCTGGAAATTCATTACAAAAGGTTACCATTGCTTGAGTTCATACTCAAATTTTGTCAACGTTTGGTGGATCATAGTTGAAATAGATTAGCATTTAAAAAGAACTACTCGAAGGGTGACATCACACCAAGCAATGATAAAATGTACAAAGGTGATGGAAGGCTATCATTCCAAGACTATGACAAAAGCGCCAATAACAAAATCAAATAATATTCGAAAAATGAAGGAAAAAAAAAACATACCATTTTCAATGCAACAGCAACCTAAAAAGCAACCAAAAATGAATCGTTCAACCAAGTGTCGTCACTAAATAACAAGTGGATAATACGGCCGCAGCTCGTTTGAGTGATAACAGTGAAAATTGAAGAATTTTTCGAATACATTTTGAGGATTTTAAGGATGGAAAATTTAATAATTTTTTTGGGAGGGATTATGTATTTTTACCAAGAACTAAGAGAGTTTCAACTTCAGTTCTTCTTTATGAAGAATTGTATTATTGGTTTTGCTAATAGAGGAATTATTATATTCCTCTATTACACATATTTACACTACATACAGCGAATCACCCTGAGATCAACAACCTCGATAATGGAAGTTTTCCGGAAGTGGAAGTATGAGATTAGTAAAGTCTTGGAAGTGTGTTATTCGAAAGTTGTATACTAATAAGTAGCCAGAAAGAGACGACAAAGATTAAGGATTGCTTCCTTTAGTATTTGACACAATTTGCAACATTCATTTCGTCATTAAAGTGTAAGTATTGGAAGTTGGCGAAATAGTATGGAATGATAGTTGTGTCAGAGACTAAGAATGAGATAGCAAGAATGATAATATACAAAGTAAAATCTTTCCCAAATAGTAGCATTCTCAACGGTAAATCAAAGTTTAGCTTTTTTTAAACTTTTTTTTTTTTAAGCTTTGGGAATTTCTACTTTCTAAAATGCTGGTTAATTTAACGTGAATTTGAGATTTTTCAGAATTTTTACTGGACCTATTTCTTTTTAAAGCCTAGCATAACTTAAAATAAGACATTTGGCAAAGCCTGTGATTTAAATCACGTCTTTAAACAATTACAAATACTTTTAACATTTCTGGTTGCATCATTTGCATTTCCTTACTGTTCTGGTCATTGTATTTCGGTTGCGCTTAGTATGTTGCATTAAGAGTGCAGCTGATGCATTACTATATTATTTCTCGTTTTGTCGGTTGTTCAATCTAATTGTTATTGTTTTTTTTTTTTTCCTGTTATATTTTCTGTTTCGCCTTCATTATTAAAGAAACTTTATTTGAATAAGGAAAGGAAATATTTAATCTTCATTTGACTTATACATTCATCCTTCAGAATCCCAAGATATCATGTCTAACCGTTTCATGAATCCTTTTGACTTTCATATAGGATTTCATATGCTTTTAAACTCACTTATTTTAAAGTTTCAAAATCGAGATCGATCTTTAAAAGCTCTTAATTTCATTGGTTCGAAACGAAAACGAGCACATTTCTGAATGAATTTTTAATTTCAGATTATGGCCGATGACGCTGAAAATTTGTTAAACAAAACATCAAGCAATAATGAACCTACAGTATCTTTTTCTAAAAATGAATCAGCGAAACTAAAATTCCCCGGTGATATTGAGGTTGTCTGCTTATTGGCTACTGTTTTTATTGTTTATTATTCGTAAAATTTAAGGTTTTTGGATAGATAAATATGCGAATTTTAGTTATTGTAAGATGAGTGTAATTTTCTAATCTCCGTATATACTTTCTTTTGCTACGGTAATTTCCATCGATTTCATATCATACTTTAATATTTTTTTTTACTGAAACCATGTTTTAGGTGCGAATTTTTCCACTTTTAGAGTAAAATATGAAATGAGTATGAGAAAGAGTTACTGCTATCAGAGTAAGATATGAAATGAATTAAATACTTTCAGAATAAAAGCAACGATGGAACAATTAATATTGAACCAAAATATGCTACTAAGCTTATAGGCGTAGTATCGGAAATGGATCCAGCGATACATCGAATAAGCTATCGGTGAGTTCAGGAATCGCATATGGATCATTTCGTATTTGGGACAAGAAATAATTATTAGCATATACTAGCCTAGGAATCGATTACTGTTCTAGCAGTTGTTGCATTATTGTCAAATTTATTGTTTTGAACTAAAAATCTTAAGCTAAATAGCAGTTATGGTTAGCTAATCTTTATTAGAGTTTGCAGAGTTTATCAACGTCGTTGGATTGTTCTAGCAGTTGTCGCATTATTGAACAATTCAAATACAATGTCATGGATTGCATTTGCTTCTATTTCTAATTATGTCGATGTATTCTATGGAATGGTAATTAGGTTACCACTTCTTTATTACCTGTATTCTGCAATTTGAAAACAGTTGCTTTGAAGAATTTTCATTTCTTTTTATTGGAGTTCGGAGTTCGAGAGTAACTGCTTTATCTTTAAAATGAGCTATGACGATTGAAATATGAAGATCAAAGGAGATTTAGCTCGCTTGCTTCATGCTAAAGAGTCGTTTATGATAAATTGTTTTTATGTGCTGTATTATGTTAGAATGTTTTAAATACTCTTATTGCTGTTAGCTTTCATTTTATTAATTTGGTAAACACAAAGAGAAGTTTATTCTAAGGTGTGTTTTTTGTTTCTTTATGTGTTATAGGTGAGCTATTTTTTATAGAACAAAGCAGCGAATTGGTTTTCATTGGTTTTTATAATTTGTACGATACCGATAGGCTTATTCGGCATATGGATGAGTAGTTCGTTCGGTCTTCGATTTGCTATTCTCATCGCAGCTTGGACAAACAGCATCGGTGCTACCATTCGTCTAATCAGGTGAGTTTTAAGGACTGTTTAGTATGGGCGGTATTGTTATTGGAAGATACTGTACTGTAATTCATGATTAGTCAATAATTGTCGATATTCTTTCTTTTCGAAATTGGTTATTGGTTAGTTTCATTGAATTCGGATAAAGTTGAAATTTATGTTTTTCTCTCACCCACATCTTTGAATTATGGTGACGAAAACTTTTGTGTTACTATTCTCAAAGTTCTAAACTTAAAATAGTCGTTGCAATTAACCCATACAGTTAATGTTTTCTGCAGTCATTTACATTTTCCACATTTTTTTCTTTTAGTTCATTTTTGCCACTGCAAATCCGCTTCCCAGTTGGGATTTTTGGACAGGCAGTGGCTGCTTGTGCATATCCATTTATTATGTTTCTTCCACCAAAAGTTAGTGTTTTGGAGATTTTGTTACATTTTTATGCAGATCAAATTTTCTTTAGTACTGTAGCAATATTTTAATAACCAAAAGTTAACAAGCGGTGTAAATTCAGGTTGCGGGGTCATGGTTTCCTGAAAATCAAAGAGCGTTAGCAACAACCATTGGAATTATGGCAAATCCACTGGGGGTACTGATGGCAAATGTTCTCTCTCCACAAATAGTTGAAGTTCCAGTGGATGTAAGGTTTCAGTTAAGTTAGGGTTGAGATTTTCTTTCTAGAGAGTCTTTTATATTCCACTGAATTATAATCATAGTGTGAGGACAAGAAACGGTTCTTCATCGGTATCTTCACCGACGTTAACTATGGTGTGGGATAGTAGTTAAATTTGAAATGTAATATAACCTTTTATAACGTCAATTATGTATTTTTAGGTATTAATAATAAACATAATAACTTTCGTGCCTTGTTTGCTGGCTTGTTTGATAGCAACTTTCTGTGTAACTCGTTCGGAACCACCAATGCCACCGTCACAAAGTGCTGCTCAGCCACAGATGCCATTCTTTCTTGGTTTGTTTGCTGTTTTAACTCCAACTCAAAATTTCCAGAATATTTCAGACCGAAAGGTTCTGAAAACTATTCATTTTATAGGTTCTGCTTGCAAGACCATTTAGCTTTTATATCATTATTTTTGTCAATTATATCATTAATTTAAGATCATTACGGACAGCGTTATAATACGCCAACTTTTGATAAGCACTTGTTTTCAACGAGAAACAAATTCTTGGAAGAAGTGTTCTAAATCTTGTCAGTTTAGACATGTAAGATGCATTGAAAATTCCGGAAATGTAAGTGAGTTGAAGAAGCTTCTCACCAGATTAGGGGAAGGTTTACGAATTTTATGTTCAATTTCAGATTTTTTTTTTCAGGAATTAAACAATGTTTTACCAATAAAGCGTACTTACTGCTTTTGATAGCGATGGGTGGTGGTATTGGCATGTTTAATTGTCTCTATACCGTCATACAGCAACTGTTTTGTGCGACAGGATATTCGAATTCATTTTCGGGACTTTGCGCTGCACTGATGATCATTGGTGGAGTTTTCGGAGCTTCTGCCTCAGGTATCTTTTGTTAGTTGTTTTGTCGTATTCTTCTTAGCTTTTTTGAGTTTCAAAACATTCTTTTTATTCATTAATTTTTTTAAAACGAGTGAAGTGAAATCTCTAGTAATGGCTTTTCTATTACCTTTTTCACTAAGTTCTTTCTTTTTTTTAAATGTTTATCTTAGATAACATAAAAGCTGAAGCGATGTTCAGGCATGTTTGTCGACCGAACCAAACTTTATGAAGAAACCATGAAAGTATGCATGTCTCTAGCTGTCATTTTTGGTGTCGTATTTTTACAGGTGGTGTTTCGATATTCGAAAAATTATCATGTAAAATGTCTTTTAAAATCCACTCTGATGTTTCATGCCCGATAAGATATTAGTAACAGTGATTAGGTAAATTAAGCACTGTTGATATAGTGAGATATGTTTTGCAGTAGTTTATGATGAACTAATAAAATGCAGATCATTTGGATATGGAAAAAAAATTTTTTTGCAAATTACGAAGCTTATACTTATAGTAGCAAATTGTTATAAATTTTCTCGTATTTCAGTTATCTCTACATTCTGATCTCATTATTTGTCTTGTAATCGTGGCTTTCCTGTTCGGTGTTTTTGGACTTGCATCATATCCGGTTGGTTTGGAATTAGCCTCCGAATGTACTTTCCCGGTATCTGAAACAACTTCATCTGGCCTAGTAGTACTGTGTGGTCAGGTATGCTTTCTTTTTTATAAAGTACCAGAATGATCCTAGAAATCTTGTACAATACTGAGTTGTCTTAGGTGACTCCTCGGTTTAGAGCAAACAAGTTAATTGAATTGAAGGAAAAATTGAAGAACAATGAATCATTATCTTCCAGATATACTCAATAATCTTCGTAGCTATAACGAATTTATTTGCTCGACCGTTACAACAAACATATAAAAATATTCAAGTCTGTACAGTTGAAGATGAGAAAAATTCTACAGCCGTACCACAAGATAGTTCCATTTCTATTATTGTAAGTTTATTTTACGTGACTTCTATGCTTCTCTTTTCAAAGCGAGCTAATGCATAATTTATCATTGCACGCTCCTTAGAATCCTTTACATTCATGTTGCTCAAAATAGCTCATTTTCTCCGCTGGTGGTTTAATCTCATACTTTAGTTATGCAATTTATGTTTAAGTGCAGTATGATTTGCTTTCAATTCATATTTGTATTTTTAATTACCACTCCTTTTAGGTATTGTCAATAATAGCTACTCTACTAGCCGTTGTACTAGTGATGTTTTTCAAACCAATTTATAAACGCATGAAAGCGGAGAAAAATAGTTCATTAGTTACAAATGGAAAAGAAACAAGCGAAAGTCGGCAACTAAACGATTTGAATCGAGTTAAAGATGAATCTCTGATACCATTAGCAGTGCAACAAAGTAGTACTTAAAATTAATGGTGAATTACGGATTTTTCTCCCATGTTGGGAACTAACTGCGGTTTTTATGTGTGTTTTGCACAACTAATTTTAAGCGGTTTTCCAGTTTTTCATGTTTGAAATTTCTTTTTACAGAGAAGTCAGTAAAGTTTATTTCTGATTTGGTATATGCTTTTACTTTTATATTATACAAAATCATACTGTGTACAACTTTATGGTAAACAAGACAGCTTTCTTGTGTTTAGCAGAATATATTAGAAAAGCCGGTGCTTTGCGAAGAATGTTTCTCATTGATAGTAGTTGGCTTTGCTTTTATTTGGTTTTTACATCTGTCGTTTAGTGCATATGCATCTATTTCATATTAGTTTAATAAATAGAGAATGAAGCAGAAAATAATGTTAAGTTTCCTTTCTTTAGTGAAAGAGATTTTTTGGTATACCTTGAGATACTGGCAAAGAAATGGATGCATATGTTGACGTATAGATTGATAGAAAAGCTGTAAGTGAACACTGCCAACTTTTTAATATATTCATGACAGCTATAAATTTATTACGCTTTATATATCTCTCTAAAACCTCTCATCTCTTTTTTTTTTTTTTGTGAAATGAACTTCTAAAGATATCTAACAAAATGCTTTTATATTATTGTATGTTGCTATATTCTTTAAGATCATTTATTAATTTTGCCAATTTATTATGTGATTGTTTTGTGTCCAGTTTATTCCAGTTGATGATATCTAATCAAAAGCTATTAATCTTTATTCAATTTCATGGGTTTTCTTATGGCCAGTTTGTTGTGTGTTAGTTGTAAAACGGTCTGTCTGTGCTATTTGACCTTTTCTATTATCAAATCATTTAATTCCGGTGGAGTAAAGTGTTTTACATTGATTTTAGTGTTTTTCAATTCATTGAATTTGACAACTTTTTTTTTAATTCTTTTTTTTTTTACTAGAATTTGAAGAGAATGAGAAATTCACTTTTGGTTTAAGTTTTTCACTTCCATCATCCACTCAGAAAATTCAATTGTGCATGCTGCATACCCTCTATCCTTTATCTAATTTCTACACTATTCGTGACCTGCTTCTGAAACTCATTTTATTCATAAGAATTGTTTTTGAATTCGTAGCTCGACATAGTTTTACTTATTTTGTGGATTAATAATGATAGTTTAAGAAGAAAAAAAAAAGTTGAAAAACAGCTCCAACATAATTCAAAGAGAATCTGTTTTTTTGTTTTCTTCGCTGATAAAATTGATTGTGATTTATTTTTGGCATAAACTAAAATAGAAGTATGCTTCGATCGAATCTATTTTGAACTAAATTGCTGAACTGTAAATGGTTGTTTGATAGAAGATTAAATTGATAGTATACTATTTATCGTTCAAGAAATATCTGAATGCAACTTGTAACACTCAATTCTGTGAACATTTTTCATCCTAAAAATATTCCAATCAGTTCAATCTTCCCCAAAAAAAATTTACGCCTAATGCAAAAATTCACTAACTTTTTTTCTAATCAAAAATTAAAATTGTTCATCTAGAAGATTCTATCAAATTCTATTAAGCTTGGAAAATATAAGCATTTTTAGAGTAAGCTATTAAATAGTTTCATCCATTTACTTTTCATTTCTGAGAATAATAAGAAATATTATTTATGCTTTTTCATTTACTGTACATTTCATATTTTTATTTGCTCTTCAATTTTATGTAACACCTCTCTTCGTTACATTGATTCTATTCAAAAAATATGTGTACATCAAATTTAATTTTACAATATTTATTTATAAAGCTTACAATGATCTTTTTGAATGCTTAAAAATGATGTTTTAATGAGTAAAATGTTGATTTATGCGTTAAGCAATACGTTTATTAAAATGCTAAAAGCGATGATTATTAAAGAAATAAGCTAACAATTTATTTCAAATTGCTAATTTCCTTTAGCTTTATTCTATTTTAATTTGTCAAATATTTCCATGCATAGAATTAGCTTGTTTTCTTTCTTGACTTACTCTTCAAACTCCTCTCCTCTCATATCACTCCCTCGAGATGCTTCTTCTATCTTACATCCTTATCCTCTAATTTTACTCTCAAGTATTTGTTTAGAAAAAAAAATTTTTTTTTTCATATATTTAGCTATTTCATAATATATACTCTCAATAATACTAATGCAATTAGTAATAAGCAACAATGATATTATTAAATTACTAATTAATCTTTAGATACAATAATAATTTAATTACTAATTCACATAATTAAGATTATCATTTTCTCATTAACTTTTTGTTTATTTCCTCTTGCAATACTAACACTTTCAATATTTTATTTATTACAAATCAATTGAATTTGTGAGCAAAAAAATAAAACGAAATTAACGTTGATTCTAAGTATAATTACATTAAAGTTAAGCAGCTAAACAAAGAAACCAGAGAAAACCTATATTATAGTTCATTATAATATTATTTTCATAGAATACAAAAAGTTTTTTTCTTTTTTTTTTTTTTGCTGAATTTATAATCTCATAAAAAATGCATTAAAAAAATTACCACTAAGAAAAAAAAAAAAATTCAAATTAATAAAGATTAAATCATTCTATAGTGGTTTATTTTCATTGTTTACTTGTTATTTATGTTTTACTATAATCTTTTTTTTTTTTTTTGCTATCATTGAGCTTTATCAAATCTTTCCCATTATTGATGTAAATAAATAAATATAGATTTTATTATGAGTTAATAATTTATAATTAAAATATTTCTCAGTATTTTCTCATTATTTTATTGTCTTTTGAAAAATATTCACAGAAGAAAAAAAAAAAAAGGGGGCGAATGAAATTTAATAGTATATTTTTAAAGCTTTATTAAGACTATAAAAAAGTTTTCAGGATTACAAGATTTGATGTTTGTTTAATTATAAAAAATATTTTCTAACTCATATAGATAGATCTCTAAACTGTAGCTGCATGAATGTATTTACTGAATATTTGCTATTGCAGGAAGTAAGAAAAATTTATTTGCTGCATTAAAATGCTATGAGTAATTCATTTTTGAAACTATTGATAAGACAAGTAGCGAATAAATTTTAGTTTATTTAATGGAAAATTTCAAAAACAAAAACAAAAAAAAACTTTTTTTTTTTCCTTCTGCGATCAGCCAAATTTGTCTTATTTAGCATGTAAGACAGATTTTGAAAATTTTGTTTTCACATTTGATTACCTTTTTAAGCTCTCTCTATCTCTCTCTCTCTCTCCAACTCTTTTCATTGCTATGAAAAGAAAATTTTGCAGTTTAATTTCATTCAAATATTTCGCATCTTTTTTTTCTCTCTCTACTTATATTCAATGATTTATTCCATTATATTTTTGCATTGATTATAATTTCATTCTTCAAAAAATTAATGCTAATTAGACATTTATAAAAGAAAATTTGTGAAATTATTAAGACAGAAATTTTTCATTGAAATTTATTCAAAAAAAAAAAAATCAATTTAATTAGTATAATCGCAACAATGACTCTTTTCATATTTAACTCTTTTTACACTTAGTTCATATCAAATTACAGATATTCGTATAATTTCTTTTTTCAACTTTTTCCGATTTGGGTAAATTTTTTTTTTTTTCTCTTTGTCAATCTTTTCAATTGCTTTCAATTTGGGCAAATATAGGTAGAATTTATATTAATTTAATATACATTATCGTGCAAGATCAACATATCTTCTCTATTCTTTCTTGAAAATATTGAATAATTGAAAAATGACAACGAAAAAAAGATGTCACATCGAATTTTTCCTTTCCTAACAATCTGTTCCCAATTCTGATCACAATGAGATCATTTCAAAAATTGAATTGAAATTATTAAATGCTAGAAAATTCGATGGATACTTGTTCTCGATAATAAATCCGATTGAGAGGGATAAAATTATATCATTTTTAACAGCTAAAGCTAGAAAAGGTGTAATTGCTATTGCAACTAGCTAAAATTTATTAAAATGCTTCCTTAATCGATGTTCTAAAGAATATTAAAAAAAAAATTATTTGAATAAATTAAAATGTGCAGAAATTTTCCATCAACTATAAAATTAGTGACTAAAAAGTTAAAAACGAAACATTGTTCAATGTTTGTGCAAATAACGAAGTAAACAATTTTTGCCAATAAATTGCAATTGTAATTATTGTATTCTATTCTCCATGCATTTCTGACGGAAGTTAAATGCAAGTTATTGAAATTAAATTAGAATTTAAAGTATGTAACATACTAATGCTTAAATTTGCAATTAATTATACAATTATCTTAGAAAGCACAATTTGAAGTCTTTTTTTTTTTTTATTTCACAGAAATATCACAAAGCATTTTTGTTAGCTCAAATTAATTTTTATGCTTAATAATATATTTAGCAATTTTTTGAATTAATTTAGTAAAATATTTTAGTTAAATTTTGCCGAAATGTTTTTTTTTTTTTTTTTTCGTTTTTTAAGAAGTGGAAAAGCATTTACACAGATAAGCAAATGCTGAAAAATAAATAATCTTTATAAAGTTCGTTTTTTTTTTTTTTTTTTTATTGTGAAAACAATAAAATATGTTAAAACATACTGTGGAATTTTTTATTTTTTTTCAAAATTTGATTTCAAAATTTTTCTAATTTGATTTTCCTTCAGTCTGATTATCCTTTCGTTAACCTGAATTCTTTTTTTTTTTTTTTTTTTTTGCCTCAATAAAATCATTCAATTGCTAATAATTTTCAATAAATTCATTTCACATCTTAATTAGTAAATTTGTTTAACTTGTTGACTTTTATGGAACAAATAAATAACTGATAACTGTTATCATATTTTGCTATCATACCTATTTAAAGAATTAAAATGTTAGTATTAATGAATTTTAATGATTCATAGCTATGATAATGATTACTTCTGCTCAATTGCAAATGTCCTATCAAATTTTCATATGTCAATGACATATCTTCTTCATGGCTCAATGATGATGAAAATAGCTTTGCTCTTTTCAATCAAAGCTTTTCACTTT